GAAACTCGCAGTACGATACGGAGCGATATTTTTGACGTTACGTATCGTTTGAAAGGTTTGACAGATCGTTGAGAAAGGTTTCGAGAAAATGTTTCACGCGGAGAATAAGTTGTACGGAAAAATTGTTTCTCGAATTTTTAACCGAGCAATTCACTTTGGACGTCGATATAGGTTTTCGTATTACGTACATTTTCATTTGAAAATATTAGAGCGTCCCCCGTCTTCGATACGAAATTTGATGTTTGGTTACGGTATTTGTGAATTTTAAATTTCCCGCGTGTTTTCACGTAAATCCTTAGTACATCGGCGATGTTCCATGCTGCGTGTCAGCCTAGCGATTTCTATACAAGCGACACGCGTCGTTGTGACACGTATCAAGGTCTTTCAAGAGCCACAGGCCTAACGATAGCCACGAGTTCCGGTTTGCCGACGAATCGCAAGAATCGTAGGTTTGTTTTTATGTATATAACGTTTATTGTCCAAGAAAAATATAAATACATACGTGTGCTCACAATGAACAACGGATTTCTGTTTGAAAGTGGTTCTGGAAAAAGTACGACGTTACAGTTTGTAATTTAATTTAAGCCACTCAAAAGCGATATTGTCTTTTCTCTCTTCTTCTGTCCTGAAAACTTCAGGAATCCTGGGCGTGTAATTTTGAGCGACAAATTGCAAGGAGCGCGAATTGTACAATTTGAACGTCGTACTTGATCCCGGGTGTATAGCCATAAAAATGTCCCGAAGGATCTGTCCACGGAGTGGGAAAATCGACGAATCTTCTGACAAAAGGACAATGAGCGGCAGAGCTCGGCAACTTAGCGCAGAACCTTGAAGGCACCGAGTCGTCCGAAGAATTTATTCCTATCGTCAAAATGATGACTTTTCTCCTTCGCGTCGCCTTGTATTGGATCTTAATTGCAATCATTCTCGTGGTATTTAGATAGAAAACTGCATGGAAAACTGGTTATCTGGATATTAAATTTCGCCTAGGTATTGCTTTGGCGACTAAGTGATTGCGGATTTTGTCAATACCACCTAATGACAAATTCCGCAATAACTTAGTTGCCGATCCAATATGTGTATAATCGGACTTTGATCCGGAAGCTGGAACAGCCACGAATACAACGATTTAAGGTAAAGAGAAAGAAATAAAGCGGACCTGCCATCATTCCGTAGCTCTGTTATGGTAGCGTGAAAGATGGACCGTACGAATAATAACGTGGATAGGAATCGATATCGTAAATTAAAAAAAGCAGGATCGATCTGATGGTCGGACACGGGAATCGTATAATCGTAAGATTTAGTGTGGTAGCGCGACCCCTCCAGCAGGCCGAAAGACGCGGCGTTGCGACGCATCGCCACAATAGCCCCGATGATTTACGCACATATAAATACCGATCGTCCTTCTTCTCTTTCTTTCCTTTTTTTTTCCTCTGGACCGCGAAAACTTTGGCTACTCTTCGATGGATCACAAAGAAGCAAGGGAACCCGTAGGCCGTACGAAGATGCAATATCACCCCGTTATGACGGCCCCCGTATTTTAGTAAGGTGCGTAGGGTGAGATTCCCATTGGCTGCCCCATTGCCATGGTGTGTATCGTAACGCGGTACCGCTCAGCACGGTACACACATCAATCACCGGCATTTTAATATCGGCTACCGTACAATACCACCAACACCGATATTCCCTGGTACTCTACCAACCCACCCACCCTCTCCTCCACTACACACACCCCTTCTCCGCTGGAAAACCAGTTTTTATGGCGAAATTCTTCTAATTCGTTCTCCGATCCTCCCTCCTGTCCTCTTCATCCTCCATCGACGTCGACAATCGTTTCCACTCGTTTGTTTTACCATCGTTCGGTTTTCGCGTCTAATGACTAGCTGCTTGCATTTTTCCTGCAACCGTTGGTTTCGCCTTCTAATTCTTCTGGGCGATCGTTTTAACGACTGTCCGATTATATCGGGTTGTCCGGAAAGTTTCTTTCGTTTCACAAGACGATGATACAAGAACAACGATTTTTGTTTTATATTTTATCGAATTAGATATGATCCATTTCGTTATATTTCTATTATTATGTTCGTGCATAATTCGATAAACTAATATTGGATGAGGATCAGTAATATATAATAACAAGAGCGAGAGATCGCTGCTGCATATGTCAAGTGTATTTTGAATAAAAGTAATAAATTCATGTACAGGCTATATTCGCTGAAACGCTCGTATAAGTCGTAAAATAAGATCGCTAATGACTCGTTAATTAGATATCTGATAATTCGTTGATAACCGAGTGATAATTGATCCACAACCGACTGTAACTCTTTTCGATTGCGTTCGTTTGTTTATACCGGTCGGGGGAGAGTCGGAAAATTCTAATTCCTCTTCGTTCGACAGCTGCACGTAGCGACGACGTTGTTTTGCCCGGAGTTTATTTATTCTTACATCACGCGTATCCTAACGATCTCGATACTCCGAGGCAAAATAACAACATGATTTGAATTGTCCTCTAACTCATGTGCCGCCACACTGATATAAAACAAACAACGTTGTGCGTCTATCGTTTGCTTATAAAACGAAAGAAACTTTTCGGACAACCTAATATTTCGTTCGCAAGTCACCTCTCTGATCGTCTCCAAATAAAATTGTCCGAGTGGCGATGTTCGCTGTGCTTGGACCAGCGACAGCCACCTAATCTCGTCGTGGCGATCGTTTTAAAAATTGTTTGGGGAGATGACGAAAGATAACGCGCGCGTGTCAAAGCGTTCGCTGATTCGTCCGTTTGCTTGTTTATTCATCTCTGAGCGATTCAGGACGTTCGAATGCGTCACCACAATTACGGAAATCGCCAGCGAAATGTGCATTGATTAGGTTGCTGCTGGACAGAACGCTGCGGTGCGGTCGCCCCTTTGTACTTCAGTGCGCGCGATACGCGTTGCATCTGCTCGTGATGCGCAATTAGCAGCCCTAATCGCGAATTTAGGATCGAGGTCGACCAAGTTTTCCATTGGTCGTTCGATTACCAACGGCGGATGAGTACACGCGTCCGAATCTGTTGGAACGCATCCGTCCAAGGTTTCCCCTATTCTCAGCTTCTCTATTTTTATTCCCAAGGACAACGTTTCATATCACGATCTATAGATCGCTGCATTTTTTCTACGTAAATTTTTTACGAATTACCGGATCGCAACGCGAATTCGTCCTATTTTTATCTTCGCTTGCAAATACATCTCACAAATTGATACTTTTATTACGAAGATTCGCAATATTTTATGTTTCTTTTTTTTCAAGTTTGCCACGTTGTTCGTATTCTTCTACCGTTTTAAAAAGTTTCTCAGATTCGAAGAAAACGTTCGCGTCGAACGTATCCAATGATGTTTTCAATATTTCGATGACAATATCTTTTTTTAATCAAATCTTTTCGCTAAAAAATTGCTCAAAGTTTGAAAAATACAGAGAAGAACTATGCGCGTTAACGCATGTGACTTTTCCTTCCAATCTTACGCTAATTATGTCGTTTAAATCATCCACGTTGCTTCCATTCGTTCGAATAAAATACAGTTTACGATATAAAAATTGGAAATATACTCTCGCTGCGTTTCCTCGCGTCTATTTTAATCTTACTTTTTCTAACAATAGTAGAGAGACAGGACCAAGTTACGCAAAAGGGTTGTATAGTTTGGCTACAAAGGCTTCGTACAGTTGAATGATGTGGCGAATCAACGAATACGGGACGAAGGAACGATTTATGCCTGGTTGAATTTTGTTTTCAGTTTTCCAGAACAAAATAACATAAATATTGACGATGGTTCGCATCGGGGATCGATTCTTTTGTAATCCATACATTACACAGGCTATATTTTCATTTTTATTTTGAAACAGTTGAGGGTAGAGAGTAGGGTGGGCACTGGATGCTTTTATGGTGACTGGCCGTGTTGGTATAGAGACGCGGGTGCGTACAGACGCGTACGAGTGTGGCGGCTAGCCTGGCCCATGACGAGAGATGAAATTCACCTGGAACACGTGCTGCCCTTGTTCGCCTCGTGACGCGATGACGTAGGCACTGAGAGGATTATTTCTCCGTGAAAAACTGATAGGCCACTGTTAGTCGTACAAAACTGCGCCAACATTATGTAACGACATTGCCCGGCTAAAAGATTTCCCAAACTAATACCGTCATTTCGCTGCAGCAGATTACGCGCGTCGTTACACCCACGCTACTTGCGAAAAAAGTTATAATAATACACATAAGTAGAATATACAAGCAAATTAAGCATCGTAAAAATAGAATAATTAGTTAGCTTGTTGTTCAGTTATATGCAACTATTTATAAAGTTGTTCGTGATGATGTCAAATGCTGCGAATATTAGGTTGTGCGCCAAGTGTCTTTCTTTCGCAAACGCGTTTTTTAACAACGTGCAAACGCGAAACCAAATCTGCGAAATGTCGCGCTGTTTGTCTCGACGGGGAAAAAATCGGTCGTACGTAATTCGACGAAATGATATAAAACAAAATGCGTTGTGTTGTTTGTTATTTCTTCGTAAAACGAAAGAAGCGAACCTAATACGAAATAACATTAAATGCCGCGAATAACATTAAATAAAATATCCCAGTTGTAAAAATAATAAAACGGTAGGATACAAATGTAGAAATTGTTGGAAAAACGAGTGGAAGATTTTAAACGCTCGTAATATTCGTCGATAGGAGAAGAAAATTCTCGATCGACGTACACGTGGGGGTCCTGCAGTTCTTTCGAACAACGTTCCACGTTGCGACTGTTTCTTCGTCCAATGTAAACAGAGAGATTAATTCGGAAGTATGTTAACGCAAGGTTGCCGATACAAAGTTATCGGCAGAGATTACTCCGTAGATGTAAACGAAGCAAAAACCTTCTATGCGTAGCAGACATTCGACGTTGCCCTTCCATTACGCTGGAACACTCGTATCGACGCACGTCGTATCGTCGCGCGCGTCCAAATATTCTTATTCGTTTCCGTGCGTTTAACGAAGAAACACTCGCAGCATGAAGCGATCAAAATTGGACTTTCGTCGAAGGAACGTGGCGTTTTTTCCTCCTTTCGTCGATTCCGGTGAGCCCTTACGATCTTTTATCTTTCTCTTCGTCGTTTTGTATCTCCGTTTGAAACCGTTAGGTTGTCCGGAAAGTTTCTTTCGTTTTATTATTTCATCGAATCACGCACGATCGATTTTATTTTCTCGAGGTAAACACCGCGACGTTTCACCGACTTGGTTTCACGTTTGTACGAATGTGGACTGTTAAAAAAAAAAGGAAAGAAAGACACTTTTCGGACAACGTAACACGTATCGCTAAGTATCGTTTCCGATCGTTGGTTTTCCCCGTTAATTCATATGCTGTTAACTTAATAATCGTTTGTGGGAAAAATCATTGTGTATGTACAGTTGTAGCTGATTGAGATGACGAGAAAAATAATCGTTATTCATAGAGACTGTCGTAATATATCGCGATATACTATATATACTCTGCTTATCAAGGTTATTATTAATTTTTCGTTTCGTTAGAGGAAAAAATAACGAATTTATCAAGATTAAAGAGAGAAGCTGAAATATCGTGGCTGTGTTAACAATAGAAACGGACGGGTAACGCCGGTAATATCCGATTTTTATAATATCAGGGATGAAAAAAAACACACGGGGTCATCGAGGAAAAAATATATAGCGGCTAAAGGCGAATTATTGCCACGGTGTTTTGAAACCCGACGTCCGATTGTTTACTACCGTAATCTGCGCCAATGCGTCAGTTAAATTAATCATTTGCTTGCCAATGTTACCGATAAGATCGGTCTTTTTCTCTTTTTTTACTTGCGACCATGCGTATCAGATTATGCCACGCGATTAACATAATCGCGTAAACAAGACAGACGAAACGTTTTCTTCTACAATTTACTTACGCGACGAATAAGAAAGCATTTGATTTTTTAATTAAACTACAACTCGTATCGAGAATTCTATCCGATCCTTGAAGCAACCGTTGATCGTTCGCGTTGATACACACTACGCTAACTTTCCCATGAAATTCATTCGTTCGTTTATTATCGATTTTATCGAAATTCGCGTTCACTGTCCACGATCGTTAGCAGCGACTATTCCTATATATTCGGCGGCTCGTTAAATTCTCTTCAACGTTCTAATTTCTCGCGAGTTGACGATCTTTCGTTGGGATCGGATCGATGCGAACGTATCCTTGAGATTATCGTCGACGTTACGTTTTTGGTCAGTTTGTTGGTGGCGATGAAATTTAACGAAATTTTATTCGAACACGATACGAAGTAGCGGAATACTTTGACGATTAATCGCGTATCGGTGTATTAGGATCACGGTCCAACTATTTAATTCGTCGACCGGTTTCAGCTCAAAGCGAATCGCAGTAATTACGATGAGCGTCGCCTAACGTGCTAACGACTAGTCGGCTCGGATATTCCGCTTTGATTCGATTTCGTATCGAAAAGTACTCTTCGGTATCATCGTCTCTGTCAACGGTCTCGCTATTATTCGCGATAACGGTCGTTATATCAGGTTTTCGACATTTGAAATTCGCACCGAGCCGGAGGGCAGGTGACGCTCGTTGGCGCTCGTTACCGCTCGTGCCAAGCCCTGCACCGTTCATACTTTCGCAAAAGCTTTCGTACGAAATATAATCCACCAGCAGGTTAAATTACAGCCACGTTAAAGCTTGCAACACGCAAGCAGCTATTCCAATTGACAACGTCATTCCGGGATAGTTATCGACTACCGACGCCTACGTTTCTACGTAGAATACCTTTTCTTCCTTCTCCCTTTTCTCCTTTTCTTCGGTAAACCGCGCAACAATTGATAAACATTTTGTTAGTTCAACGCTTCTATCTGTTCATGTTCCTTTCGTGTTTCTCCACAGATTCGTTAAACGAGCGTTCTCTTCCTATTTAGATGCGACATTTTCAGGCTAACTTCAGGACAGAGAATTGGTAGACAAATAGGCAGCAAGGACTGTAAAATATTTTATACGCGTTTCGTTGTATCTTCAGAGAAATCAGCCTAAGTTTTATCCGATTGTCTCTATTTTTACGTCAATTATGTTGGCTTCTGTAGCGTGTCAATTCAAACGACTGTCGCGGTTCGGTTCGCTCTGGTTATTTAGAATCGATAAATCAAAGACAGTTTTAATTTATCCTCTTTGAATTCATTTTTTGCTGTACATTTTTACGTAGCTACGTCTCTGCCTTCTTCCTTTTCCCCTTTCTCTTTTCCATGTTCCTTTCGTGTTTCTCCACAAATTTGTTAAACGATCGTCCTCTTCCTATTTAGCTGCGACATTTTTAGGCGAACTTCAGGACAGAGAATTGCCAGACAAATAGGCAGCAAGGACTGTAAGATATTTTATACGCGTTTCGTTGTATCTTCAGAGAAATTAGCCTAAGTTTTATCCTATTGTCTCTATTTTTACGTCAATTATGTTGACTTTTGTAGCGTGTCAATTCAAATGGCTGTCGCGGTTCGGTTCGCTCTGGTTATTCAGAATCGATAAATCAAAGACAGTTTTAATTTATCCTCTTTGAATGAATTTTTTACCGAAAGAAGCGAAACAAACGAGGGAATGTAAATATTGCCTGTGCGGTAGTATTGTACGTTCGCACGACTTGCTACATTATAGCGAGACACGTTCTCGCTTTACTTTGAAAAGTTGCTGTATCAATTATTCAAGAACGCGAGTATAAAGAGTCTACTTATCGTCCGTTCAGTTTCTCTTTGCTCGTATCCTATAAAACCAACGTTATTATACAACGTTGGAATCACCGTGCAAAGCAACCAGACGCAGCCACGACCATATCTACGTTTCTTCGAAACATTCGCGTCATTTAAAAAACAATATCTTTTTAATACGCGTTTCCGTACGCCCGATATCGCGGCCAACTAAACCAACGGATAATTCGATCCGATCCGAACATCTACCAATTTTGTCCTAACTCGCGTCTCCGTGAAATTCCACGGCTCGTCGTTGCTCGCACCATATTTTCAAGTGGACGAGATTTAGTTGGCAGTTTCACCCTTATCGAAAATGCTGCCTTTATCTTCAACGCGCGCCGCCTGTTAATTCAACGAGAATTTACTATCCATCCGCGGTTCTTGTTCCGTGAACATATAGGGGGAGAGCACGTTGGATTACTCGACAGGAATATCATTTTATTTGACGTTGAACTCATTCCGGAATACATTTGTTATTAATTAATAAATGCCAGTGGTCGCCTCTGCACAGAGCTATCGGATTTAAAGCAAGCTCTCGTTTCTCCTCCCTCTCTAACCCCCCCTCCCCTTCCCTCCCACTCGTCCTGCAACCTCTTCCTCCTCCTCGTCCTCCTCCTGCTGTACCTACACCTACACCTACACCAACAGCTCTCCACCTACTGCTCTCACAAACCTGCTGTGTATGTGCGAACGCTGATTGACCCACCCACGAGTGATCGTTCGGCCATGAACGCTACGGATGGCTCGGCTGCTCATTTTACACCCACAATGGAAAATTCGAATTTTTCTTTTCCTTTTTTTCTTTTTTTTTTTTTCTTTCTTTCTTTTTCAACCATTTGCGATAATGCCGAGCGAGACCGTCCCGCTCTTCGTTTCGTTTTCTCTGCGTTTTTTTTCCGTGCTTCGAGCCCTCGTTTCTCTGTTTATCGCGGAAAATGACGCTACTCTTTCTCCGCTTGTTGCGCCTTTCGCTTCTGCCTCCTTTCTCGTCGCTCGTTTTCCGACGACACAGGCTACTGGGAATCAGTCTTGCGGTGCAATCCTTTCGGTCACGGAACACCGTTCTTATCGGCGATTTTACGGAAATACGAGTTTTATCCGTTACTTTTCTTCCCTGTTTCTCGTCCAGACGGACGACGCTTTTGTTTAGTTTGCGCGTTGGTTGGTTGGTTTGGTTCGGTTTGGCTCGTTCGACGTAGCTTTGCGGATAGCTACGCGTAAGAAGATTAAAACTAGCTCGTTAGTTTAATCGGTGGTTAATCGCGCGTCCGTTGCTCTCATTATCGTTGCTGTAAATATTTTACAAAAGAATTTTCTCTGCGATATTTCCTTGAGAAAAGTTAAACGAGGGTTAAAGTTTCTTTCTTCTTTTTTTTTTGTTATTTGATATTAAGAGAAAAGAGAAATATAACTTTTGAAGTAAATGAAACATTTCTATCGTTCGAATATTAAATCCGGGGAACATACGGTTAAAATATTTTATCGTTTCAACGTCTTTTTATACCGTCAGGCACTAGATTATCGCGAGATAGAAACGTTACACTCGTATGCGTGCGTACAATTTAATATCGATCTGAGGGTATCGAGAACGATATTGAATGGCGATGACAATATGCTTTTAGGTTTTTAAGCGATTATAAAACTCAGAGAAGATAATTCGATGCACGCAGATACCAATAGAAAAAGCAACGTTATCTCTTCGTTCAAAGTTATTCTTTCTATTTGCATTTACGGGAAATAAAGATTTGACAAGGAAACAAAATTTGCAATTTTTCTCTATATTTTTCTCGATACTTGGCAAATATTTTATTTTGCAATTATTTTTCTATCGTCTCTAGATCGAATCGCGAAAATGAATAAATCGAACCTTGGACCTATTATTTTTCCAAACCGACAGAATTGTCCATAAGCCTTTACTTTTGTATTATCCTTATCCGAATATTTTATACTTTATCTTTAATAATACTTACATGGAAAAGTGGATTGTCGCGTCTTTAGACTGTCGGCCCTGGAACAGTCAGCTTATCGGACGAGTTTCGAAAGTTGGCAGGAAATTAGAAATTTCCACGTCGAGCAATCTTCTCGCCGCTAAAGTTTTCGATAATAAAATCATCTTGCGCGGCTAGCCGCACGAATCTCGCAGCGCGTCCGTTCCTTTCGTTAATTACTAATAATATTCAGACAGCTCTGGCGATGGGGTGGGCGTGAAATGTACACGAGGGTTGAAAAGTGTTGGGTCGGTGTGGCTGGAGGAGGAAACGGCGGTCGGACGACACGGCATTTCCATAGGCAAACAGAAAGCTGTAGGATCGCTGGCAAGAAAAATGAA